TATACAAATATATATATATATATATACAAATATAAATAAATATTATATATAAATATGACATTCTGTTTATCAAATATTTGTTGCAAATATAGTTTAATGTTATTGTTTAAGTCTTTATATATGATATACCTGTTTCTTTGGTCTATTAGTAAATAATAGACCACATTGGCCTCTCATCGAGTGGTTCTTCATTGCATTAGCTAATTTATGTATACCTTCTGCAACTTCGGTTTCCTTTGATTTTCCCAGACCCAGTGCAATTATTTTGAGCTTTCCAAAGAAAAGTTTACTGTCTTTCCACTCAGAACGTAAATCAAGAAGCTTAGTGTTGCGTGTATTTTGAATAGAGATTAAAAATATGCAACTGTATTCTTCCACACATTTCTTAACATCTTCCATAATCCTCTGTTTTAAAATTAAACCTTTTTTATCGGTTTTAGTGAGAGAAACTGTGAAATAAAAATATTTTAAACAAATATTTTAAAAATATTTTTAACAGTGTCATATATTTATTTTACACATATATTCTTTTTCATTATAACAAAGTACAAAAAATAATATTGTTTAAAATTATTATTACATTAAAACTACATGATATTACTCATGAAATTAAATTATAACTTTTTTGGAGGTTAGTTGTAACAAGCTGTTTCTAAAAATATTTCTTACAAAAATTCGCACAAATGTACAAAAAATATTTAAGAAAATTACTTTTTTTATCCCTCTTTGATTTCGGCATCTTTGAAATTAAATTCTTTCGCAGATTAAAAAATATAATAAAATTGTTTAAAATTTATGCCTGACACCCATGTGCTCACATGTGATAATTTTGTGATTGGACGTGAGTTTAGACATTATAGTTACATTATAGTTAGTAGAGAGAGCGCTACACGTAGCGAATTGGAATAAATTGGAATAAATAAAAGAGAAAACTTTTTATATATCTAAAATTTTATGTTATTTATTTAGATACCAATAAAATTCTCTTTAATCTAGATTTTTAAAAAGAATTATTTTTAATTTCTCTTAGAGTATTTGTGTTTTTTTTATTAATTTTCAAACATATAATATTATCTATGTTATTACGCACACAATTTTAAATCCACTAAAACATTTTTAAACAAAAAGACCAAAATTTCCTCCAGAAAAATCAAACAGAATTTCTGAAGAAAAGGTGATAGGTTTGAAAGAGATAAATAAATCCAATTAAATTTCTCTACTTTGTTCCTTTATATATAAATACTTGAGTCCCACTAATCTAAAATTAATGTTGATAGTAATAAAATTTATAAATATAAGATTACGAGTACAATAAGATTAAATTTATATCCATTAAATTATAAATCTTTTTTAAAAAATGTTAAACAATTCAATTTTCTTTACATCTGCAACTTGGATTATTTTTATTAAATATATTAAGTGTTAATATATTATCTAAATTATTTAAAATAAAATCTCTAAAATAAAAAGATTTTTAACTCTTTAGAGTGAATCTTGAAGAGTGAGATTTCACTCTCCAAAGTAACGATTCACTCTAAAAACTTTAGATCTGGTTGCATCAACATTACTTTGATTTTAAATTATAACATTTTTTTTTAAAGCCAAGAGAGAAAAAGAGAGACAAAAAGAAAGAAAGAGAGAGAGAGAGAGAGAAAGAGAGAGAGAGTTTTAAGTTTCGCTTAAAGCTAAAATAATATTGATGCAATCGAGAGAAAACTCGTTTCTTTTTGCAAAAACATTTTCGATTATCTCATAAATATTTGAATCCTGCTGATTTAAAATTAATGATAGATAGTAAGATTTATAAATATAAGATTACGAGTATATTAATACTGTAAGATTAAATTTACTTCGATTATGAGTATATTAATATATCACTTCCTCTAATTTACGCGAAGGAGCAAACGAGCGATTCAAATCGGCGCGCCGTGTCACGCCGGAAATGGGCGCGCGAGCGCCGGGCAAGATGGCGGTTTCCGCTAGTCGCGCCAGTGCATTCAGCGAGAACGTAGTGAACGGTAGCTGTTGAACACGTCGAGAGCCCGATTTCCCAGGCCACTTACAGCACTCCGAAGGTGAGTCCGCTTCATCTGGTAGTTGTTCATCTTCATCGTTACATCCGACGTCGGAATTGCGACCATCTTTGGCCGCGTCCACGACGGATCGCGCGACGTGCGCCGCAACGCGGCTCGTGTGGACCCCGTAGCCATGCCGCCCGACGTCGTCAGGGCGGTCCGCTGCTCGGGGATCTCGCCGGCGACGATGGTCGCCGTGTATTTTGCACCTCTGTAAAGATATTAACGAGATCGAATCGGATCTCGCAGGATTATATCCAACGGGATGATCATTTCGAGCGAGATACGAGCGACGGATTTGTCTCTCTCTCTCTCTCTCTCTCTCTCTCTCTCTCTCTCTCTCGCTCGCTCGCTCGCTCGCTCTTTCAGCTATGACTTTCGTGCGCGATCGACGGCCTGAAGGCGGCCGCACCGATGACGCACGAGACGCTGTGCGAGGAAAAGAGAAAGAGAGTGCGAGGAGTGCCAGTCGTCTCGTTCCTCGCAGCCGCCATGTTGCTCTCGCGGCCGGCGACAAAATTTTTCGCACGTTGCCGGGCTATCTCGAGGAAATGATGCGTCGTGAGGATGTATCTGCGTTGTTACGGCTGGTTATCAGATAAGAGACGATAAGAGACGATTAAAAGTGATGATTAACGAGAGGAAAGGAGGAAGACGGCGGAGCTTGCTCGCCCGATCATCGATCGCTTTTTTTTTTCCTCTATCTCCATCTCTTTCTTCTCGTCTGCCTCTCACTCTCTCTTTTCTTTCTTTCTCTAGATTCGTTTAACCCTTATTTACAGAACCGTCTATAAGGAGTTATTATTTGCGATGTCGTAATCGTCTTTCGGCGTCGTTTAAAAATGTCTCTAGCAGTTTCACGCGCAGGTGGGTGGTGCGTTAATTGCGCGTCGCGAAAGGAGAGGAGGGTTTCATATCTTTATCGACGAGTCGCGAGATTAATAACGTAAATAATTGCAGCCGAGGGCACCTCACGCAATGACGGAGATCGATTGTGTATTTTAAAAGAGATGAAAATTGTAAAAGTGAGCAAATTCTCTCAGTGTTGACCAATGAAGTTGTAAATATTTCAATAAACTCGCCCACTTTTATAATTTTCATTTTGTTTTAAAAGAGTTGATTGTGTATCTTGGAACGAGATGAAAATTACGGAAGTGAACAAATTTATTAGATGTTTATCAATGAAATTATAAATATTCCAAAAATTCGCTCACTTTTGTAATTTTCATGCATATCGTTTCAAAGAAGTCGATTGTGTATCTTTGAAGCGAGATGAAAATTACAAAATTGAGCAAATTTACTAGACGATGATCAATGAAATTATAATTGTTTCAATAAATTCACTCACTTTTGTAGTTTTCATCGATCCGGGATATACATTTTGATCCCAACATCTGGGAGATCAATTATGAATCTTGAAACAAAATGAATATTACAAAAGTGAGTAAATCCATTTTATATCTCTATAAAAGAATAACTGTTTGGCTAAAATATCTAAAAATTTAGTTAAATACAAATCTGAAAATAATTTTGTCAAACTATAGAAATACTTCTATAAAACGCTTAAATGTTGATGACAATGCTGCAAAAAGTTGCAACATCTTAACAATCAGTTTAAGTCCCAATAATTATTTTGATACTCCAAACGCAATTTTCAGATTTATACTTAACTAAATTTATAGGTCAGCAAAACCGTTCTTTTTGTATAGGTACAATGAAAAGCACATACAATAGAAGCAAGGAATAAAGCCTTATACACAATTGAAAAGCAGCAATAGGAACAGGATAAAGATCGTATAACAAAGTCTAGCCACGAGCAATTTTATCAAAACAAGAGTGAAAAAGAAGGTTATTGTACATATTGTCTCTTTTTATATATGTTATCTCATTCTAACTTAGCTATCTCACTCATTCTAACTTATTGAAGTTAACAAAAACAATGGACCAATTAAAAGTTTGTCATCTCGTGACCAGATTCTATTATAGGATCTTTAGAGAAAAGGATCTTTAGGAAATATCAATTTTCGACCTCTCAGAAATTGTTATCCCAGAATATATAGTTTTTAGATACATTGATGTGTGTTAAGCGGCATCTACAATGAGATTGTAAGATGTAAAACTTAAACTTTAAGGACTAAGCCGTAAGAAATTGTCGATACAACCAATCATGGTCGACTATTCACTTTACTTTTTTTGATTATGATTAATCAATTTCTTATGTGGCTTTCATTATGCGAGCCGCTTTATGCTTTTTCTAGAGTTTAATTTTCACTTCGTTTCAAGATACACAATCAACTTTCTGGTCACAATTTAGATGATGATGGAGGTAAGTGGAGATTTCACTGTGGTAACGTGTTGTTTTTGAACAATTATTCACCTGTACTTTATGTACGCTTCTCGCGCACAAACTGATAAATGTGAGAAGCTGAGGTGATCCATGGAACAGGTGATCTACATGTGTCACGAACGTGTACATCTGTTCTCACGTTACTTGTTAATATGGCCGGAGGAAAACGCGTCTTTATTCTACGTTAATTGTTAAAACACTTGAATCTATTTTGAAATTCACAAGAGCTTGAGAGAGAGAGAGAGAGAGAGAGAGAGAGAGAGAGAGAGAGAGAGAGAGAGGTCTCAATTCCTATTACTGAATTCCAATTACACGAAGGAAAATGATCTCGTTTCTCGAAGACGATACGTCGCTACTCATTAATTAAATCCATTCTATAATAGCGAATATTTAAGATTTCTATTTGGAAAAACTTGGAAACTTTCTCAATCATGAAATTTTTATCTTTGAAATTCAGGGATTTTCATGGAATTTATTGGGAATTTATTTATATAAGGAAATTTTTGAAATTTTACTTTTAAATTTAAATTCAGTTTTTTGAAAGCTTTGCTTTTTTCATAATTTTTCTTGATAATATAAAATGTAGACAATCAATTAGCAATAAAGCATACATATATATTTTTGTATGTTTGCAAATTTTTATAAGAAACTCGGCAATAGTAGAAAAAAATACACAATGAAAGAGCTCATTGATTTTTTTTCTTTATTGCGTCTAATTGTAAAATAGGACAGATAGAATTTCGTGAAAACCTTCTTTTAATTTACAATATATTTGTTTGCATTACTTCCAGTTTCGAAATTGATCAGTTTTCTAAAAGTAGATACTCTAATCTAGAATTTTAAATAAAAATTACTGGAAAATCCGGGTTCTTAGAAAATATTTTTACGAGATTTCAATAAACATTCTGTGAAATTATTTAATTAGGAAAAGTATCTCATTTACAAAAACGAAAGATATTACGTAATTTCCACGTTCTCATATTAACAGTTGAACATTTGACATTTGACAATCAATGTTCTGCTGTATATCGCTTTATTGCGATCCAGCTGCGTCGCAAATGGCACAGTTGTTTTTCCATGGCATTAATATAACGAACCTAGAGATGTTAATAAATTCATTACGAATTCGTGTATACATGTGTGGAATATAAAGTGACCCTTCGAAATAACTTATATTAGGTTTATTCTTTTTAGTTGAACTGAATTGCAAAGTTCATCTTTTTTTTCTTTACGTTTTAGAAAAAAAGAAGAGAAAAGATAAATAAAGTTAAAAAGAACAAAGTTTTTAATATGATATACTTTGACCCAAAACGAATCTTCTGCCTCCTCTCGAGGCTTCGCTAATTCGAGATTTAGGTATATAATGAATGATATTATCAGATTATCTATCTATGTTCCTGCCCACCTTGCCTCTAGGTCATCGAACAGCCGGCGAGGTCTACTCTTTTCGCCAAGGTCGATACCCTCCATCTCACCTTTCTTCTCCCTTCACCATCTCGTCATCTCCGTGGATCTGCGTATTTGCGTAACAAGCGAAGGTCTCTTCTACGTTCTAGAGGCCATCGCATTCCTCATTCTTTGCGACAACTCTTGCGATTACTCGCGGTTGTCACCATTCATCCAGCCTTTCTGATCGCTATCTACCTAAACTTAAGCATGAGAAAGAGAGAAAAGAAGTATTTCTAAAAGTATTCAATAATTTAAGGGAACATTTTTATCAAAACTCATGTCAGATTATTAGTATTTGTTAAATTTAAGAATAGTCATCTGGGGTATTTTTATATCTCAAAAAACGCGAAAAAATCTGATTTGTAAAATATTATTTTGCATATTGTTTAACATATTTATCTTTTTTAATAATTATTCTTGACGAAACTTTAAATATGTAATTCTATTCGAAAAAAATAGCATTTATATTAATTAAAATTTTTTATTTAAAAAAATATAATAAGTTATTGAATGTTCCTGAACTTATTATGAACTTTTTAATATTTGTTTAATTTCTACTCACCTGTTTTACATGTATCAGAAAATTGTGATTAAATTCATATCTATAATGTTCTAGAAATATTAATAAATCGGAAAACAATAACATATAATATGTTAATATAATAGTAATTATTTCAATTGGAGTTAAAAACATCCCAAATCAGATTTACATAAAAAAAATTAGGTGACTATTTCCGAGTTAATTAAAAATGATTGCAAAAATTAGAAGATCTTAAATTAAATATAAAAAAAACTAAGAAATTACAAAAAGAAATGGCGAGTAATAATATTCATTTAGAAGATTCGATGTCAAAATGATCTAAGAAGAATACGATTTAAAAATTTGGAATATTTTAATATTTTTTACTGCAATTACAAAACGACATATTGTGGTCGATATTATTTTTTGTTTTTTGACGTGATGCTCAAAAGAGATATATCGTATCTAATGTATAAGTATAATCATGTAAGGTAAGGATAAAAAAATGACGCGCTCGATTGGATCAGAGTAATGCGCTACTTTGTGAATCTAAGAACTATGGACTATTATCGGTTTCGCGGAAAGCAAGATGCGGGTTAATTGTGCTTGATATATCGATTTACGGTGTAATCTGTCGAAGCAATATGACTAGCTAGGAGATACAGGTGAGTCTCATTTATCATATTCCTAGGAACATGATATAGTCTCGTAATGAAAGAAATTTTCAAGAATTTAGAAATAAATCCTTAAAACCATAAACTATGAAGTAATATTCATGATTTTTAAATCTTTGGCATCTGTAAGTCCGAATCTACAATAGATGTTTTAAGCCATAAGAAATTGATCAATTGCAAGCGAATGTGAGAAGAATAACTGATTGTGATTCGTCCATTCCTTATGGCTTAAAGCTTAAAAATCTATTGTAGATTCGGTCTTAAAAAATATTTTGATGAGAAC